TATTATCTCAGTCTAACTGGGTGGATTTTTGTCTCTCACTGGCGCACGATGCCAGCCAGTTGAGCTATGCTCACTGGTGTCTTCATCAAGCTGAAGTTATTACAAAAGGTATTTAGGTTAAGCAAACAGCTGTATCTTAATATTGATTAACTTAATAGAAATGTGGGGAAAATTGTAAGAACCTTCAATCTGCCCTCCAGGGCCTGATTTGATGCTTGAAGATGCTGCAGACGGGCCGTTAGCCCGAATAGAATTACCAAAAGGTCTACTGCTCAGAATTCCTCCTGGATAAGTTACAGGATACTGAACACCTGGCACAGAGTAAGGAGATCTTATGTAACTCGCAGGTGGCATGGCATAGTTTTGAGGAGTCAGTCTGGGCGAAAGATCCGAAGGGGTGCCAGGTACTGCGCTGCCTTGATTTGTAGGTGGAACCATATTCTGGAAACCATGCTGATTCTGCATTGGTGGTAAACGATACTGCATCATTCCATATGCTCCATGACTCTGTAAAGAAAATTAAATTGAATGGTGAAATTATTCAATCCAATTGTGAAACATATCTTGAAGTGGAGAGGACTATATAATGATTTAAACATGTGAGCTATTATGCATATATAAAGAAAAATGGGAAGTTAGCTACCTGGAAACCATATCCGTTGTACGGAGGGATATAACCCAGAGGTAAATTTTCGTATGGAGACAGATGCTGTCCAGATTCAGGTGCAGATGGTTGAAATAGAGCTTTTTGAGCCCTCCTAGCATGCCTTTCCTTTTCTGTATCAGCCCATTTGACTACTAAAGGGACCATTGAGCCCTGGTTTAGAATGACGGTAACCAAATTACTACCAGTAAATATAATCCCTCCAAACAACAAAAATAAATTTGGCATGATAACGGTCCATGAAACAAGGAGAATACATGAGCACTAAGCATCATCATCATCATCGTCATCATCTTTGACAACAACAACAACAAGAACCTACATACAATCACAACTATGTGGGGTATGAGGGTCAAGATTTATGCAAAGCCCAGGGCAGTTTTTGCATTCTTGCATTTATGGCCCAAAACTTCATAGAAAATACAAAAGAAAGGAAGTGTAGCGTGTCATATTGATTTCATCCATGAGCACTAATCAATATAATGCTCAGAGCCACCCGTGTCCTAACAAGCCCAATATAATATACACCTTATGTCCCAATATAAACTTCACCCGTTCCTTTTTACACGTCTTGCAATAAAATTCAATTTTCTTTTAAGAAAAGAATATTGCTAACACAATTTCTGAAAGACAAGTCAAGTTTGCATTCTATACAAATCACATGCAGATTTTTCTTTTACTAATAAATAAACAGCCTTTAAAATGGTTCCTCTTTCAATAGAGAAGTAGCAGATAGTCAATGCAACATTCGACGCTCATCATGGGTCATCACGAAACGACTGCTCTATGTTTTAAACATAGGATCACGCTGCGTACATTTGGCCCCCCTTGCCCCGGAATCAGCGGGAACCTTTGAGGCACTGGGGAATGTTGTTGCCATTATTAATAAATAGTCTGCCAAAACATATATTTGATGTTGGTGGAATGATAAGCACTGAGTCTACTTAAAACTGGTAAGTGCATCTCAAACACAAATTATACAGACAAAATTCAAAACAGATTTTGGACACAAATTGCCTCTAAGGAAGCAGCAGATGACATATTTCTTCATCTTGCAAAGAAGAAACTAATGTAGTAAAAGACAAAGCTAATAAAGAAAAGACCAACCTCCATTTTATGTTTTCCATTAAGGGCATTTATGGCTGCAACAGCTTGTTCCTTTTGCTCATATTTCATAAAAGCACATCCTGCAACAATAAAGACATTTTAAATCCAATATGAAAGTGATAGATTTAGTATTGCATAGCATATGATCTTTGAGTTGAGAAAATGCACATGAGTTAACTTGGTTACCTTTACTAGTTTGCTGAGACCCTCTAATAATTTGCAAATCTTTAATGGTTCCAAATTGTGAGAATAAGGCTAAGAGTTCAGCATCAGAGACATTCTTTGGTAGCATACCAACAAAAAGCTTGTGCTCTGTTGATTATGAAGATAAATAAAAAATGGAATGAGATAAATAAGGTACCCACATTTGTTGCACGATAAGCCTACAAACAAACTTTTGTATCTAAGATATTTTTAAAAATTTTCAAAAAAATGATACTTCTTCCGTCCCTTAAAAAGCTTCTACATTTCTTTTTTCATTTATATCAAAATGAGATTTCACTCTCCTTTTAAGAAAAACCATACAATTTCACCATTCTTAATAACAATGTCAGTTTCAAGGTGGCCCTTTTTTGTGGGACAGAGGAAGTAAGTATCATCATATCACAATATGTAGGAAGAAAATGTATTTATAGCTACGATATTTAATTATACTACACCTAGTCTTTCCAACTCGCCATCTGCATACTTTACTTGCAATGGACTAGAAGCCTGGATTGGACATCAAAAAAGACTCTTAATTTCGGAAAAGGAAAAGCACGTAAGTCAAGTTATGGAAATCAAAGTCAGTTTCAATAATGGAAGTGTAAGACACTAAAGCCCACAGTCATGTTATGAATTCATTCAATTGTGCACTTTTACAAAGACTATGAGTAAGAAGAACTGAAGAAGGGAAGATAGACGATAGATGATAGGCTGATAGCCAATTAGCAACAGCACACTTCCTGTATCTTATTCCTCCCAAAATCAAGTTGACCACTAGACCCCTAAAGCAATGGTTCATTACTACATTCACCAAATTGTCAAATAACCCATTTTAGTTCAGAAATTCCTCTACAAATTGTAATGTTGCAACATAAACAGCAATAAATCAAAGCCCCATCGGTTACAATGTTGCATTACCAACGGATGTTAAGAAAAAAAGCATTAATTCAACCTATGAAACAGGCATTAAATATAGCATTTGGTCCTTATCCACCCAAACCACTAGTTAAGCACAATGCACATCGAAATAAATGGATCGCATTCAAGAAAAACCAACCCCAGGAAGCGTCTTCTTATTGTGGCACGCATTTACAGCCTTGTCGGCTTCTTCTCTGGACGGGCATATCAAGAAACAACACCCTGAAAACACCGGATTCCGGTTCCAGAACCAGCAAGACGCATTCAGAAGCTACAAATCTCAGCAAAAAGGTCAACAAAAAGCTCGAATCTCGCATTGAGATCGAGAACGTGTAAATTCAGAGTGGAGAGGGATAGCGAGAGTGAGACCTCGAGAAGCTCGCGTGGCCTTGTCCTTGATTATGTTGACTTCATCAACGATGGCGAACTCCTGGAACATTGCGAGCAGCTGCGCCTCAGTCATGTGCCTCGGCACTTGACCGACGAAGAGCTTGACGCTCTCCTCGCCGTGATTCCGCAGCCTCTGCGCCTGCTCCTCCGCCATGAATGCCGTCCGGCTCGCACTCTCCCCGACTTCCCTACTCTTCTCCGGCCGTTGACGGCGGCTCCGTTCCGATCTCACGCCGTGCTCCTCCTCTTCTCTCTCTCTCCGCGTTGAATCTTCTGCGTTCCGGTCGGGGCAATCTCGAGCGAATTTGGATCTTCGGGAATTTATTATCGGTGTTTGACTTTTAAAAAAGGATTATGCTTTCTACCCCAATTTGTACCCCGCAGTTTTGCACCAACACTTAGTGTTGGTGTAAAAATAATTTTTGTTAAACGCACCAACATTTGTGTCCGTGTGAATATTTACTAACGCACCAACACTTGTGTCGGTGTAAACGATCGAAATGTTTGTGCAAGCCTGTGGTGTACAAATGGGATATATTTTTTGGTGTAAGTGTAGCATGGTCTTTTAAAAAAATGCCCCTTCTTTTCCACTTTATTTACAGTTTTAGACGTCTCTCTCCGGGTTGCATTTTATTGACACCCAATAATAAGACGAAATCACTGGTTAGGGTCGCGTTTGCCTCTTTCGGAAATTTGGAAGTTTTTCCTTTTCATACTCACTTTTTGGAATGTTTTTAAGTCAAAGTGATTTATATTTCATATGAGGCTCATTTTATATAACTGAATTAACAAAAAAAATATTTTCAAATTAAACTTAAATACTCCCTCGGTCCTAAACATTCTTTCAAATTAAACAATGACACTCTTTGACCATAAATTATGAAAAAATATATTGAATATTAATATAAGTTCAATATAGTTGAGTTAATCTTAGAATATAGTTCTGATCTATCATTTTTTTTTATTTAAATACTTTTTTGTCCCAATTTAAAACATCTCTAGTCATCTTCTTATTACTCTAAAGAAATGTACCTGAATAGGAGTAAAAAATTTTGAAAATATCAAAATATGAGTCATATATATCTATCAAGACCAAAATATGAGTATAATGATAATGTAATGTAAAAATATGCATTGGCAGTGTGATGGAAAAGTAATGATAGTGTAATATATCAATGTGATTAGTTAACCATCGGCAATCTACAGCGGCACTATGGTGGCTGGCGGCGACGGATGACCGTGTGGTAGTGATAGTGTCATAGTTACAATGTGATAATGTGGTCTCCAAGGCCAAGAATTGTGAGTATTAATTTTTGTTGTTGGACAGGGGTAGTTAGCGTGGAGCCAATGATTGGCATTTTGTCTTTCTAATCAACTCTTAAAAGACCAATCCAACAATTTCTCTCATATTTCATCCAAAAAACTCGGTTAAGCCAAAAAAACATAAATATCGGCAAACATTATTTAATTAATATAAAAAAAGCATGTTTATGAAAATAACTCATATTGAGATGTTCAAAATGAAAAATGATATGGATATCGAGCGACATTGACATATTTAAATTTATAGTATCATTTCTATCATACTCCGTAAATATTTTGAAAACTATGTGAAAACAATATTTTTAAATTTTAAGTTTTTTACCGATAGCAATAACCAAAATATTAACCAATATTAGCATAAAAACGCACCGATACCAAACTGTTCATCCTTGGACCAACCACAAACTTTCATACATTGTATCAATTGATAAATGCGTAGTAGTAACAATATTCAAATTCGTCCCAATACATTTGGAAACAATAAATTCAATGCTGTATTAAAATTATACAGGCCTATTTTCATGTACAATACTAGTAGTAGCTATTATTGGAAGAATGGTTAGCTTGGGTGATGGATGGAGGAACCTAAACAAAAAATGTGAGCATTGCACGAAAATGTGCTTCTAGAGGTGCGTAAAAAGGAATAAAATGAACCCCGAGACCCACTTCTGGAACCCCATTTCGTGCAATGTGACCGGACCAGGGAAGTTTTTGTGTCTTTCTTTTTTTTTCAAAACTATATCCACCGCTAACCATTTAGTGGACAAAAAACACTGCATGAGAGTGGGGGACTGGGGGCAAAATAATATGGTCAGATAAGAGTAATTCTTACCTTCAGCAACTATCAACATGAAGCACCAAAAAATGCTAACGAATACGGAGTACTACGACAGGCATAGATTTAGGCCTTAGATCGCCTTCAATCCTGCTAGATCACGCAGCTTCTCACAAACTATAAAGGTGATCATCGTCTGGGGACCCAGCCTCGCAAATATCGCAAGGCCGCTGTCAACATAAAAATATTTAAATTTTTATGAGCAAACCAATTGGGGAAGGAAGAAATGTGCATCCTAAATGTGAATGTTAAAATACTTGTCTAGTAGTAATGCTTGAAAATAAGGTGTGTATTAAAGAGATTGATGCAAAGGTGGTAGTCACCATTAAATATATGGTAAGAATGCCGGCTGCATTGGTATTGGACACATTTGCCATCAAAGGGTAAGGGCACCAATACAAACTTACCAAGGGTGGGGTATTAGGGAAAGGGCAAGAAAAGGATATATATGTATTGATGTGTGCCAATAGCAGAGTTATTTGTCTACTCACCCTTTGTAAAGACCCCGAGGACCTTCACTGAGCAGAACCTGAAATCACAATTGCAGGAACATCAGCTCAAATCCGCAAGTTTTATGTCCTTGTCATCATCTCAATATACCAATAATGTCAACTGCTACTTCCTTCTCCATTAGTACACCTATCTTCCCTATTTATGTTTTCATATTTCAAAGGTATTTACTTGCTAAACAATTATCTCAGAAATAGTAACGATAGAAATAACAGTGGTAAGCCATCTTGCAATAAGATATTTGAGCTACCACCTGATATGCACAGTGAAGTCCACTTTTATAAGTTCCAGCACTCTTGGATTCTCGTTGCAACATAAGACGAGTTTTAACCATGTCCATGGGTGCCGTTATAAGGGTGCTTACAGCTCCTGCTAATGTACTGGAGCTTCACCACATGCAAATCTAGATTTAGATGAAACTGTGATACTAAAAACCATTATGCAGTATGGAAAATAAATTTTGAGGAACATATTTTGTGCTATTTAGGCCCCGTCCGTTCAACTTATTTTTTCTTATTTTTTCTTAATCTTATTAAAATCAGATCAAATCAGATCAGACCAGATCTAATCAGATCTAATCAGATCAGATCCAATCACATCAGACCAGAATTATTATTATTATTATTAGTATTATTATTATTATTATTCTTAAAAATGAAAAAGAATAAACTTTAGAAACAAGTCAAATAGAAAACTGAGAAAGTAATCCTTAATTATTAGACGTCATAAAAATTATTTTTAAAATACATTGGCAATGTCAATCTAATTCTACTTTTAAAATACATTTTTATTACTACTTTTAATTTTATTTTCTAACATTTTGATCTTTTATAAGGATGAGATATTTTAATAAAAATACAATCTCTTCTATATTATGATTATCTAAATTTAATTACTTTTTAATGTATATATAAATTAAATATTTATTCTAATGTATATATGAAGTAATTATTAAAATATTAAATTAATATTCTAATTTCACAAAAAAATTATCATAAAATAAAAAATATTATTACATTATAATATGAATGATTATTCTAATATATGAATTACGTAATTTTATTTTAATAAAAAATATCATAAAATAAAAAATATTGATTATATTATAATATGAATTATCATCACAATTCTCAAATGTTATTATAAATTCAAATCAAATTATTGATTTGAATTTTAAATCAAATCATAAACTAGGAAAGTGAACCTACATGAGATGCAGATAAAATCCTTCCTCAAGAGAAGTCCACTTTAGTAACACCTGCATCAGCAAATGGAAAAAAGAATATGTGACTTTGTGAGCTTATAAACAAGGATAACAAAAGAATTTAATTAAACTTTAAAAGACTACCTAGAAGTTTACCTGTTTGGTTTCATCATATGTTGCCAATTGAGATGCAGTTAGAGCAGCAGCTCTGGCCATTGCAGGCCCAATCCCTTTCCAAAGAGCAGTGACCCCCTCTTCAGAAGCAATTTTCTGCAGCTCGTTAACGGCTCCTCTACGTGATTTCTTATTCATCTGTAAACGAACCTGGAGAAACATAGATGCGATGACAAAAACTTGACGAATGATATGAGAGATTACATTCTTGATTGTTTGACTAATGGGACAAATTAGAAAACTAATTAATCTTGATTGATTTAGCATATCTACTTTAATATTCTGAGTGCTTTAGCATATCTACTTCAAATATATTCTTTTCAACTTTTCAGGAGATCTGTAGTTTTTTAGTTCCCTTTAAATTTAGATGTTGTAACCATCATGAAGTATAAATAAATATGTAAGAAAGAAATTCTCTCCATTTTATATTTTCTATTCTGCACTTTATACCTTTAGAACCTCCATTGGATTAGTTAGTGCCGTGGCAATAGCACCAGAGAAAGCTCCAGACGCAATCTTCACTGCAAGGTTGTTAGATTCAAAAGCCATTCCACAGATATATTTTGATGGTTCATATAAGCTCAAACGGAGGCCGCCATAAACAATTGACCTCATCATTGCAGGTGACAGTCCCCGATACAAGGATCTGAACCCTTCCTCTCTTACCACATGAGCATAAAGTTTTCCCTATTTTAAACGGCAGCTGCTAACTTATACCTTGGACCTCAGAAACAAGAGGAAAGTACAATAAAATAATGTATACCATTCCAGTCAAAGGACCTCTCTGCCCAACAAGCTGCATTTGTAATCTCACTTTGAGAACATCTGTATACAAAATAAGACAAATCATACACACGTATGAAATGTGTGTGCGCACACACACACACCAAATAATGCTGATATATCCCACTCAGGAGTACAGTCCCAGGATCTAAGATCTATGCAGACCTTAAATAGTTACATCTACCTCAATGAGTAGAGAGATCGTTTCTAAGAGGACCCCACCACACAGTGAAAAAATGTGGGAAAACAAAAAACCAAGGCCTTTTGTGCCTCAGTGTGTCTTGTGCTTTAAACAACTTTGCTACAACCTTTATACCACGTCTCAAGGAATTCATATCCAAGATCATGTCCTGAAATAGGTTCAAGGCTATCATGTTCAATCTCAACTACTCATCTCACATCCCCTTTGTGCAGCCTCTCCAAGACAAACATTTTCAAACAGCTGCAGTCTGGCCTCTCTTATTTACGAGACATAGCGTGATTCATAACTTAGTGGGTTCACAAATGACAAGTTTGGGCATTTAATGACTCTTCTGTTAGTGACTTTAACATTTCTCCATTTGGCATCTTATCCAACAAGATATGGCCACAAACTCACTGAAATTTAGGATGGAGAGTTTGGAGAGTCTATAGCTTACACTCCAATTTTGGGTGTTAATATTTCAATGGTTAAGAGTGGTTAGGGTGGGTAAGTGTTACTCCCACAAACTCTCCTTCACTCTTCATAAAAAAACAGATTTCTCTATTCTAACATGTCCTTCACGTGCTTCGGGCCTAGCACGTGAAACCAACTTGTGGCGGTGAGTTTCGAACTTGTAATCTATTGGTCAAATTTTGAGGTTGTAGCTTTTATATTTTAAGAAAAGCTTAAATTACAGAAGAGAAATGAAAACTCAAGTCCAGAAATTAGACCTAGAGGGTGAGTAACACCAGTTGCAGCGGCAACGGCGAGCCCACTGGTAGCGAAGCGGTAGGAAGCATCTGACGCTGAAAGGCTCCATTCCTGCCTCTGCTTTACTTCCGTCCCTCCTGAATGAACACGATAACTGCAATCAGATTACGCGCACAAAATAATAAATTTCAGAGATATTTGCAATCGAGATAACCGGAAAGCGAAGTCTCACCTGATGTAGAGTCGCCACCCATAGATGATTCGACGCGGCGGCGGCGGCGGCGGAGTTTATGCGGCCGGCTGCTTCCCGTCTTCCGGTTTCCAAATGGAAAAGCTACCTCAACCGTCGATCGTCGATCGGACAACACATCAAAAATAACTCTGATCAGCAACCGATGCCTGAGGCCATCGAGCGCTTGGAAGAGGCCGAACCCAACACCCGCAAGACTGGAAAGATCTTCCTCCCTCGCACGTCGTCGTTTTGGTAAAGAATAATCAAACTTGGAACTTGTTTGAGTATTTTAGTTTCATATTATAGATTTCATATAATTTTTTCTAAGGGTCCGTTTGGTATACGGAATTGATGGAATTGGAATTTGAATTTCATGGGATCCAATTCCATAGAATTGAATTCACCAATTTTAATTCATTTTTTGCACTATCAATTCCAAATCCACATAATATTGGTGCTACCAAACACCAGAATTGAAATTGAAGTCATCAATTCTAATTCCATAATTTAAATTCCGTGTACCAAACACGGTTTAAATTTTAAAACTTACGGAGTATATCATATCAACCTTTAGAAACTCAGGCGACTAATCCTTAATAAGTCAGTAAAGCCATTTAATGTTGAGTGATGATATAATCATAAAAAATTTGTGCACAATATTTTTCTCTTGTTTCTTTAATTCCATCCGTACCACGACTCCACACGAGAAGATTCTACAATTGAGTGAATGTGATTATGATATGTTATGTGATTACAATTAATATAATTGATAGAAATAGTAATATGAAATTATGAATGGCTAAAACTTATCCATAAAAGAAAAAGTAAATGTAAAATCAATGGATTATGTTATGTGTACCCCAAGGTTTGTACCCCAATTTGTACCCCGCAGTTTTGCACCAACACTTTGTGTTGGTGTAAAACTAATTTTTGTTAAACGCACCAACATTTGTGTCCGTGTGAATATTTATTAACGCATAACACTTATGTCGGTGTAAACCATCGAAATGTTTGTGCAAGGCTGTAGTGTATAAATGAGGTATATTTTTTGGTGTAAGTGTAGCATGGTCGAAAATCAATATATGGAAGAGTATATATGGAATACTATGTTTGATTTCTAAGATATACTCATTTTTTTAGATGTCTCTAAATAAAATTGCCACTTTTTTTAAACTTTTATACTTGATGAAGGAAGTATACAACTACCATTATTCTTCTTTCTTCTGAACAAGTTTCAATTACACTTTTATTTTTATACACTTCTCTAATGCTCAAGGAGATAAAAAGGTAAATTTAATTTTGGGGCAGAGTGTTAATTGAGTGATCCTTGTGACACTTAAGAAATTCCCACCAAATCAACCAAATTTTCATATTCTGTCTAGGGAGTATGTATTTACTTCTCCATATCAACAATATTCCTGAAATAAATAACAAACCAGTCTTATGGCATTTCAAGATGAAGCCAAATCTGATGCAACTACACATGTTAAATATATAAAAACAGTTCCCCATACAGTGGGCTATCAAAATACTAAAAGGTCTGAGATAAGCTACAATTTTGTACATACTTAAAAACACATGTCTTCAAATAGCCACTTACCCTTCCAGTTGATTTCAACCTCTTGAGAACTGCACCTCAAAGACACACTGATTTGCTTCACAACAGTAACTTTAGATCACTTGCCTATGTGATTCAGGCCCGTCCCTTGTAAATAGTTACCGTATGGTGAGTGCAGATTCTCTCTTTCCGTTACTCTTCCAGAGTAGTTAGCCGCGGTCACAGAAGAGTCTCTAGCCATGAGAGAATAAGGTTCCATGGGATCTGGCAGTGCCCTTGGCAAGGGTAGGTACCGATTGACAAGTGATGTGGTGCTGTCATTGTAGGGATTACATCTGTAGGAGGCAGCATAGTCTTGTGCCCCAATGTTGGGGGTGGAAGTCAGTGGGGAACCATTCATTCCTATAGAAGGATGCTGTACTTTAGTGGCGAGTTCCTGATAACCCTTGAGCCCATATACTTGAGCAGGCACTTGGACAGGTTCGGGAAAAGAAGATTTTGATGTTGGGTGTAACCAGGGCATGGGCCTAAACAGTTTCGTCAACTGTTTTACCTGTTGGAAATAGACAACTTTCAGGGAAACGTTAAAATTATGAGCCCATTAGGTGGGCATTCCACTCTGCTGGCTGAATTGGCAGCCCACCAGTCCTTGAGGCTGGTGGGCTCAACTGAAAAAAATATTTGAATTTTGTGGGATGGAAATGGCTGACATTAATAAAAATGATATTTCAACCATCACTTTAGATTTGTTTTTCTTTAATTCATATATAAAGAAATTAATAGGGAGTACGGAGTAATATTTAAGATAATCCAGCATATTCAGTCATTTAAGCCACAATTTTGGCAACTTCTAAAACAAAGTTTCTCTGCAAGGGTAATATATTTCATACTTGTGAAACTGACAACTCAGTCTTGAACTTGCGTGTCCTCTCGTCATAATTTTCCTTTATTGCTTTTTTAAACACGTTTTCAGGTAGGGGAATGCAATCCTCCTTAACTACGAATCTGACCTGTTTGAGTTGTCAACCATCGAACAAACATAATTAGAAAGAAATCACGAGAAGTCAATAAGAAAAAAAATGTTGACCTGGCCGGGAAATGCTCCACCAAAGGCTTCTGGTTCAAGTTTCATGCCACCCTCAGATGATGCTTCAAATACTCCATACAACAGCCTAAGGTCAAAATCGTAGAGGAATAGCGTGAAGCCTGGCTTGATGTTCATCACAACTTCTTGCTTGTTCCTTGGAACACCCATTACATGGTAGTGGAAACAATCAGGTTTAGTTTTTGTGTTACACATAAAAATCATCCCTCCACATTCATTGCTCTCAAGGGACTGTGTATCTTTTTTCTTCAACTCCTTACTCTTTTCATTTGCATGCTGCTCAGATTTGTTCCCATGTTGAGCGTTTAGATGCTTGTTTGGTATTTCACTTCCACCGCTAGTCTGATCTCCATCTTTGATCCACCAGTCTACAAAATCTTTTTTGCCTTCAGCTTTTGTTGTTCCACCATGGTCTGCAGGTGACCCTTGGTCCCTTTTCTTCTGCGCTGTACTCTTTTCATCTGTGTCCTTCTCCTCAGTAGACAGTAGGTCCCCTTTCTTCAACTCTTTACTCTTTTCATCAGACTTGTCACCATGCTGAGTGTTTGAACGCTTTTTAGGTCTTTGACTTCCACCACTAGGCGGATTTCGACATTTGAACCACTCCTCTATATCATCATGGTATGAAGGTGGCGGTGGGTCCTTTTTCTTCAACTTCTTACTTCTTTCATCCGTGTTCTTCTCACAGGACTTTAGGACCCATTTCTTCAACTCTTCATTTTTTACATCTACATGCTGCTCATTGGGATCATCAGCTTTAGGGACACTTATATTTTTGCTATCTTTGATCCCATTAGCCACCTCCTCCTTTCTGTCTTTAACTTGTGAACTGGTTTCGACTCCTTGCCTCAGGGCAGACTTCTTGGACAGTGACTTTTTTAGGATTTTTCCTTTCTCCGCCAAAGAATTAGGGGTTTTTTCATGCAAGTTTGTTGGGGATGAATCCGCAGCACTCTTCTTCTTTACTTTATTACGGGCCACAGTCTTCATTCCCTGTTAGCAGCAATAGTTACAATTCAAAAACAAACAGCATGAACCAAACTATAAAAAAGCAGTAAAACACTCATGGCCTTGACATTATTCGGAAAGGTAAGACTACATGTTAGAAATAAACACACATGTATTAGTGAGAAACTTTTCTGTATTTTACAGAAATATCCAATGAAATTTTTTAAAAAAAAATATCTATATGCACTATTGAAAAAAACAAAACTTTTTCATAGGCAACAAAAAATTAAGACCACAATGCAACACTCTCTTTGTCACTAAATCATCTTCACAGTTTCCTTCCTTTTCTGTTCTCAAAATTATAAACCATCCCTTATAACATCTAAGAAAAGCAATAAGTGTTTCAAAACTTCAAATTACTTCTCCACACTCTAAATGAAGTTAAAGACAACATCTTTATGCAATATATTCTCAAAATATATCAACAACAAAATATCATGCCACAGTCACAAATTTCAAACTGTTTTAAAAACCCGACCACATATATTCTCTAAGAAGCATATACACAGCCAAATTGATTTCCAGATAAAAGTATAAAAAATCACAAAAATTGAAAGTATCACAAAGAGAACTAGTAATATGAAGCACGAAAATTAGCACGGAATTGAAAAATAAGAAACGTGAAACTAAGATCTGTATAAACATCTAATTGAGCTCAATTTATGGAATTTCGGTCATCTAAAAACTTATGAACGATATATGAACAGCTAATCGTGCCCAATCTCTGGATAAATGAAACAAAAGACGAGTTTTTTGCCGAGATGATGAAGATTTGTAGCGTACAGAAAATAGAGATACCTGAGGATGTATGTATACTCCGTAATACGGAAGAAGACGAAGAAGAAGAAGGAGCGTAGAGAGAGAAGATCGAGCTGTGAACTCATGGGATGGAGTAAAAGAAACCATTATTTTGGGCTTTGATCCAAATATAGCAATGTAGAGTTAGACCCAGCAACGTAATCGGCCCAATTTTCTTTTATGGTACTATACCGGATTATCAAATCATTTATAGAGTTTCTATAAGAGATTAACTTTTTCATACATTATAAAAGAGCAGTCTTTTTGGTGAATTCATAAAAGAAATGGGGTTCTACATTTTTTGGCCAAATTTTAATTAATATGAACAAACTTGATATCAAGCGAGAAGAAGATTTTGAAAGTTGCAAAAATGAAAAAGTTTTAAAAAGTAATTGAAGATAAGGGCAACGATTAGGCTTACTGAGCCTGCGTGAATATGTTGGGAGAGAATATGTTTAGGCAATTTTGGCATTTTAAAATAGAAAATAACTCATATTTTTAAAGTTGTCATTCAGGAGCACGATGACTATGTAATTATGTGGTAAAGTGAATACATAAACCAAAAGAGAAATGTGGAACTAACGGTATAAATAAATCAATTAATGAATACTTATGTAAAATTTGTAATTTCTAAGAGGATTTTTGTGATTTTTTCATATAATATATTGAATATTGTATTTTAAAGTTTAAATATATTTAAAATATATTTAAAGTATAAAAAACTATTTTAAAATTGATTCACAATCTTAGTTGAAGTTAATTATTAAAAATTGAATGTAGTAAGTTGACGAATTGACATATGCACACGGCAATTATAGTAAGAAAATCATGAAATTAAAAAAAAATTGGATGTAGCCTTCATGTGGAGGGGAAAGATGCTACAGTAAAAAATTATAAAAGTTGTGCATAACTCTATCCTAAAAGAAATACTTCATCCGTCCAAAAATAGATTACAATCTTGGTTTCTTTCTCCTCTCGATTAATTTTATGTGTTTTCATTGAGTATTTGATAAAATAAAATATTATTCTCACCTTTTGTTTTATATAATTTTTGATATAATTTTTTAATATGTAATTTTATTTTTTATTGATGTACCAATTTATAAATAAAATGATGTCAAAAGATAAAAAATTTTGCCTCTTACTCTCAATTTGTAATTAAATGAAGAACGTAAGGAGTAGATGTTAAACTCCATGGAGTAATAAAGTTAGTAGTACTAAAAAAGGAGTGCTTCTATGGTGCACCTTGGATGTATATTATTTTTATGCTCTCACATAAAAATTCTTTTTTTATTAAAAACAATTGCTTATTTAAGTAATAAAAAAATAGTTATTTTGCTCATATGTAGGTCCATAGTGACTCTTAAGTCCATCATAGAGTTTTCCCTTAAAAAAGGTATACACTCTTTTCTTTTCTTGCCAAATTTTCTTAGATTTGCCTCTACAGGAAATGTCACGCTAATTTTAGTTATTGTATCTTCATTTCTTATTATATTCATACGTGTAACAAAGCATCTCCATTTTTGCCGCACTAATCTTGTTTTCATGTTCACCATTTGCTATACAACATTTTTGTTTTATACAATATAGCTCGTCTAATCGCAATACAAAAGAATTTTCATTTTAATTTTAAAAGTATATTTTGTCACGTGTAAAGCCCAAAACACCCTCATTTTGACAAATTGACTTGAATAATGTGATTAACAATATTCTCTATTTCACTCGGGGAAGAGACTTAATTAAAATTTAATTAATTTCCACTTTACCCAAAAGTTAGTTTCACCCATTTACAGATCTATTCAACTGCAGGCTCAAAGAAAGATCATTCCCATGGCCCCTTTTCAGCTTTCTTGATCAATTCTCACCTGATACTCCATTACAGTCTTTCAAAGCCTGCAACTTTATGCGAGTCTTTAATTGATCATCAATCTTGACCTGTTTCTGCAGTCTGGGTGTTCTTTGGTCGGCTGTGAATATGCCTCTCAGGAAAGGGTTTGATGTGAGGTCGCAGAGGACTATTAGGGTGGAGATCGATGGTTTGAAGCAGAGCTGCTGGGCTTATATGCCACCTGAGCTGTTGAGGGATGTCCTAAAGAGGCTCGAGTCTTCTGAATCGAATTGGCCTTCCAGGAGCAGTGTGGTTTCTTGTGCTGGGGTTTGCAGGAGCTGGAGAGAAATCATGAAAGAAATTGTAAAACCACCTGAAATTTGTGGTAAATTGACATTCCCAATCTCTGTGAAACAGGTCTGATTCCAACTCTTTGTATGTAAAGATGCAATTTTTTTATGCATAAAAAGACTTTCTATTTTATATGACCCTTTGTTATTCTTGTATTGTACTTTTGGACATTATTTGTGGATGTTTTTTCCAATTTTTTTTTGAACTCCAGATGTAATAGCTCTGTTTGGGCTGTCCCTTTGTTATTCTTGGATTGTACTTTTGGACATTTTTTTGGATGTTTTAACGGAACGGGTAAAGTCCAAATCTTTGTATATTTAAAAATGTAAATCTGTTTTTTTACTAGAGATCCACTCACCTACCCATTGGCATGTGTTATTAATGTATTGTACCTTTGGACATTTCCATGGTGTTTTTTCTAAAACTGAAAAAGAGAATAGCAACTGTACAAACTTACCCTTATTCCACAAAACTATATCCCCTTTGGGGAATGTAATAAACTCCAGGTATGGAAAGTTCCCTTAAGAGACTAAAGTTATCTTAGGTGGTTGAATGAATGTTGCTAGGAATAGCGAGTTTCATTTATAACTTTTGTCTTGCCATATGAAAATATTTTTATGTGTTTTGTATGCCTACAGTAACTTGGCATGGCTATATGTTGGGATAAACTATCGAAATCCAGACCAAGATTGGAACTTTCCTTGATAGAATAACAAGAGACGAGCTGAAGTGTTACAGTTGATGTTGCATTTGTTCAAGAAAACATTGCATTATTAAAAAAAATTGAAATGAAATTGTAACATACCCTTCAATTTGATATGAGGCGGCATACCCTTTTCTCCAACTTTGCTTTTTTTGCATGAGTTCAGAGTGTTGAATAATTTTACACACTTTACTTAAGACTAAATATTACTCCGTATGTGTTTGTGTCAAGGGTCCCCTACTTCCGAGTAGAGGTAACGTATGTGTACACACACCCTCCCTAGACCCTACTATCTTGTGGGATTTTACTAGGGTTCTTTTAATTAAGACTAATTTTTAATGTCATCTGCACCAAGTAGTTTGAATTAAGGAAACAATGGTGATGATGATGAAATTGATGATGATAATTACATTAACACATTAACGAAGATTTTTGTATGGTGTCTTGCAGCCAGGCCCAAGGGATACTCTCTGCCAATGTTTCATAAAGCGTAATCGCAATTCGCAAAAATATCATCTTTATCTAAATTTTGGTCAAGGTTAGTTTTCCGTTACTAGTCATGCATTTAAAAAAAGATTTCATTCATATTGTATCTTATAGTAAAAAAAGCATATGTAATAGAGTGAATTGGTACTAACTGGATTACTATCTTTTTTTCCCCAGCTTCTAATGATGATGGTAAGTTCCTTCTTGCTGCTCAAAAGTGTAGACGCGCAACATGTACAGATTATGTCATTTCTTTGAACTCTGAAAATGTCTCAAAAGGTAGGCGCACCTACATTGGGAAGCTAAGGTGAGATTTTGGAACTCCATGAGGTTTTGCTTTGCGTCGTTCACCACTCTCCTTGGTTACCGTTGAGTATATAGTCTCACATCGAATATAAGAATATGAATTACTTCTCCCATTGCAAATTGATTTTGGGTTGGAATCTCATTCTTCTTCAATGACAAACACTCTTTGTTCTTCTTCTCTATGCAGATCTAACTTTTTGGGGACTAAGTTTGTAATTTATGATGCACAACCGCCTTCAGGGCCCACGTTTACTAAATGTCGTTCCTCAAGGTCGGTGGGACCCAACCAAGTCTCTCCAAATATACCTTCGGGAAACTATCCAGTAGCTCACATTTCATATGAATCGAATGCCTTGGGTTCTAGGTAAGTTGAGGATCCTCTGTCATGGGAAATTTAAGAGCATATTGTTTATTTCTTATATGTTTTATACTCTATTTGTCCCAAAAAACATCACACATTTCCCCTTTTTGTGGGATTTTACTAGCTTTTATTGTTGTTAATTTCACTTTATTTTGTTGAGGAAAGAGGACCAAGAAGGATGCAATGTATAATGGATGCAATCCCCGCATCATCGGTTCAACCGGGAGGCGCGGCCCCCACACAAACCGAATTCCTTCCCGCCAACATACCTATATACCCTTCTTTTCCACTCTTCCGTTCAAAATCTATCCGTAAAGACAATTCGCGATCCGAAACCGTAACGGTGCAGAAAGAGAGCGCCTTAACAATGAAAAACAAGGCTCCCGGGTGGCACGAGCAACTTCAGTGCTGGTGTCTGAACTTCAATGGGCGGGTAACGGTTGCTTCAATTAAAAACTTCCAACTGATCTCTTCTGTCATGGAAGATAATGATAGAGTTGCACCGGAGCGCGATGATGTGATTCTTCAGTTTGGGAAAGTTGGAAAAGATGTTTATACAATGGATTACCAGTATCCCATATCTGCATTCCAGGCTTTTGCTATTTGCCTCAGCAGTTTTGACACCAAGATTGCTTGTGAATGATCAACCAGGTAATATTTGTTTAGATTCATTCCCTCTAACTCGATTTAGTTGTCCACTTTTATCACAAATACTCCAAAATGGGGTAGTTTTGATATCCCGAATTTGTGAGATATCAGTATGGGATTTTTGATAATTTATATTGATAAAGATTCTTGTTAAGTCCATCTTATTTATCGAAAATGGCAGGTGAGCCGCAAGATGCCTCAACAGGACACGCATGATGTCCGGGTTCGTGTTGTTTGCAATGTCGTGGCACACTTTTATTTGCTCATTTTCCAATTTTCATATAGTACGTTGTACGATTACGTTTTACAGCATTATGGTTTCCGAGTGTCTTGGGAAACCCATTACACACACATTCATATAGGTTATGTTCTTAGTACAATTCTTCTTGTCTTGCCAGAATCTTTGGTTCTGTAATTTCATGTTGTGTAAGATGATTTAATCAAGACTGAACTTAATTGGAGTTTATAGAGTTCAGATATAATTTTAATTGTAACTAAGTTCTAGTAATTGGCTTGAGATCTTTAGTTGAACCCAGGGTCTCAGTTTTTTACAAAAGAATGGAATTGCACTTGCATTTCATTTTTAGATATTATTTTCTTTAATTTATTGATGAGAGAAATAGGCTTATGGTATGTTTGGAAACATGGATTTGGATTTCAAATTTGAATTTGGCTCAGATTCCATTTTTGGAAAACTTAAAAACTTTTAATTTGGATTTAAGTTAAATTCTTCTCATTCATAACAAATCTTAATTTAAAATTCATGCACCTCTCCCTCTCCTTGTCATTTGAAATTTAAAATTTCAAATTTTAGAATTGAAATGCATGAATTGAAATAAAATGCTAGCTTCCAAACACTATCTTAATGTATTTATTTGACAAAAAAATAAAATTCATGCCATTAATGCCAAAGTGTCCCAAAGGTGGTGCTTTTTCTGGGATAGTTTTCCCTTATTACAAATTTACAATGGTGGCATACTTTATACAGTAAAAACACATTTATAATCTACCACTACTCCTATAGGCAACAATACAAAGCACACATGACCAATGGTTCTTTTTGACACCAAAAGCCGGCGTCATATTATAACACCGGTCCATTTGAGGGCCCTACATCACTCTGTTCAATCTTGAAATAATTTCTGTCCCTAACCCTCCAATCCCCCGCCCGGCTTCACCATTATGCAATCAATAGTGACAACTGTAGTATAATGAAGAACCCGAGGATAAGGGCGAGCTTGGGAATTCAGGGAGGGTTGAAGGAGTAGGAACCATTTCGAGGTCGAACAGAACACCGTAGGGCCATCAAATGGACTGGATGCCATACTATGCCACTAAACATACATTCAACAATACATACAACAAATCCTTGGAACTAATCTTTGTTTACATCTAATACAAGTCTCCAAATGCATTCACTTCTTCTGGTTACACGCTTTTACCAGGTTATGATACACATAAACAGCACCTGCTTTAAAGTCCCAATGCACTCCTTGGCTTGTTGATATACCCGCGATTACATTTTTTGACAAAAGAAATCCTTTCAACATATCAATCTACAATAACAACAACAAACTAAGTACAATCCCACATAAAGTAGGCAGTGAGGAGGGTGTGTATGTAGGCCTTACCACTACTCAGAAGTAGAGAGATTGTTTCAACAGATCAATCTCTCTTGGCAAAACGCCCTTTAATTCTTATCCTACTCTCGGCCCGTGCCTTTCTTGACTCGTACCTTATTTTCTTCTCGTATCTGTTATTGTATCATATGCATGAAAAGCATAGGCAAAAAAAAAACTTTAAAATCATGACCGCAATACAGATCTTCTGCAATGGAGTTGAGCTAATACAACAACAAAAACCAACCCATTAAAACCCCACAAGGGAGTAGGGTCTAACTGTGTGAGTAGGATTTGAGGAGGGTGTGTGTTACGCTAAGCAGACCTTACCCCTTCACACACACACAGAGAGAGATTGAGAGATGTGCTTACGTCCTTGTTTTCTTCTTCTCCTTGTACCGGGAAATTGCGATCTCTCTATCCCGGGGGTTTATCTCACGAGGAGCAGATCTGGGAATTGCTTGGAAAGTTTCAGTGTTGCTAGAATGGTTTGATTGCCCTTCATCACGACTACTTGCTTCCCCAGAACCAATGCCAACAACACTTGAATCTTTCTCCGACATTGAACAGTTTTTCTCATCAATTCCATGTAGTAGGGCAAGAGCAAACCCTTGATCACCGACACCATCAGACCACTGAAAGTCACCTGGCTGCAGGCAGAGAAAACAATTACACACACCAATAAAAAAAGCAACAAAAATATTGGATCTTTTGATTGTAGGGTTAGCAAAAAGCTTACTTCGGAGTAAGGCACTAATGCAGACTCCATGTTCTGTTCAAACCCGGATTCACTTTCTCCAAAAAGACCATTCAGTTCATTTTCTATACTTTGAAACCCATCAACGGCGGGTTCATGTTCCTCTTCGTCACCACAGAGATTAGGTGCCAGTTTAGACATGTCCCGTAGCTGGGAAAGTATTTGCTCTTTGTGTTGTCCACAAGCAGCATTCCTGTTCTGCTTTTAGCAACAGTACATATATAAAAACACCCATAGAATGTTATGATCAAGATTGTTGTCACTTAAAAATTAATTAGTCATCCACATGGAAATCACACGGAAAATGCTACTTTAACCCCAAGATGACACCAAGTTTGACACCACCAAGGACGTTCACTCACATATAGCAATTGTCAATATGAAGTCATCGTGGTGTGATTGTAGCATAGTCCAGATCACAATACCTAAAACTAAAGAAAATAACCTATGGTATCAGATACGGAGTATCACACTATCAACCTTAGTGTCAAACTTGGTGGGTTTTTTTAGCATTTTTTGAAAACTAAAGAAACCCCCTATGAAATCACCGCAATATACACCGTACAACCGGTTGTACGGTGTTTTCCGTACATTCGCGGCGAGTACTCATTTACGAGTAACCGAATACTCATTGTCGATCAACTGAATACTTTGAAACTAATTTTTCTAAAATTCATTTAGGGTCCGTTTGGTATACGGAATTGACGGAATTAGAATTGAATTGGAATTAAAATTCCATAGGATTGAATTCCATAGAATTGAATTCTACCAATTCCAATTCATTCTTTACACTATCAATTCCAAATCCACATAATTTGTGTGCTACCAAACACTAGAATTGAAATTGAAGTCCTCAATTTCAATTCCATAGTTTGAATTCCGTGTACCAAACGGGACCTTATGTTCGAAAATTGGTATTCAATTATAAAAAAACTAGTATTCCGTTACTCGAACATGAGTATTCAGATACTCGAAAATGAGTATTCATGTGGATGCACGGGAAACACCTTACATCCGGATGTATGTTATCGGCAATCATGAATCACTAATGTGAGATTCATAACAAAAGAGGCAAAATCACAGTTCTGAATCGCTGGAATGATCAAGGATTAAGAGTTATTATGTGGAGCATAAAGAACAGACCTTTGGAAGAGGGGGAACACCCATGGCCTGAAAATTAGGGTTAGAGTCATCAACGGGGGCTACTATAAAATCGTCCAGATTGACGACAGCAGGAGAGTCCCAAACTAGATAATCTGAAATTCCATCGTCTCCGCTGCCATCATCGCCGTCCGGAGAAAGGTCTTTTTTTCCCACATCTTGGAAACCGAAAACGGCGAGCAACTCGGCGACGGAAGGGCACCCGCTGAAGCCCTCCAAGGGGCGGCGGACGTGGGCGGGGGAGAGGCTGAGCGAGTGGGACTCCCAGTCGCAGTTCTGACAGAAGACGGAGGAGTGAGTGCAGCAGAAGATGGTGGCCGGGGAGGAATCGCATGCGTCGCAGAGCAGGGATCGGGAGTGTTTGGTGAAGAGCGGGTTCGTGGAGTGGACCTCCCGGTCGCAGCCGAGGCAGAGCTTGGCCGAATCGGGCCGGCAGTACAGCACCGCCGTCTCCGAACCGCAGAAATCGCACCGCCGGCCGTGCTCTCCCCCTTCTGGCCCTTCATTCAGTTCAGTCATTCTTACCCGGAACTTGAAATTGACAGGATTCGAGGAAGGAGATGGCGGAAAAGGAGTTATCTGATCGCGAATTCGTTGAAGAACAGCTGCAATTGGGGAGGGGTCGTCTGGTCTCAGTCTGGAGTGAGTGGAGAGGTAGAGAAGAAAAGACGGTAGAGGTAGGTGTGGAAGGGAAAGTTGGGGAAAATGGAGTAGTAGTCCGTGAGCTGGAAAATTAAACACTAATTTTAAAAAATATAAAATGATTTGAGAATAATTTCATTCAAACATCGTAAACTGAAACAGATCTTATAAAATAAGACGGAAGGAGTAGTTTAAAAAGTATGGAGATTTGTATATCCACCCTAATTGCTCTTTTATGATTTTCTATATTCAAAAAATACTTTCCATTTCTATTCCTAAAAAGATGGGGGTGGGGAGATGCCAAACATTTAGGGAGGAAAAGTATTTTTTGAATATAGAGTATCTAATTTTATGCGGTGTCGTGATGTCATGATTGCTTTTTTATTGTGGGGTGTGTAGAGTGTTCTTACTTTGTGAAAAGAGTAGCTAACTTGTTTATTTATGGTAAAATAGGTCATCTAATTAATTTAAGATAGCTAGCATATACTCCTTCCGTCCTAAAATTAATTTCTCATTTTGACTTCTGTAGTTAAACTTTTTAAACTTTGACCGTATATTACGGAAAAAATACATTGAATTTTTATATAAATTTGTTAGCAATATATTCATTTTGAAACATAGTTTTGAAATATATGTAATTTTTATAAAATATATTTATATAAAAATTAAAATATTGATGGTCAAAGTGTCACATTGGATGCCGTGAAAAATCAAATGAGAAGTTAATTTTAAGACGGAGGGAGTAGTTATTGAATACTCTATAATTCGTTACTAGTATAAGGTGTCATTGTAAATACTTTCTCTGTCTCAAAAAGGTTTCTACAGTTTAACTTTTTGGTAAAAATGTGACATCTTCGATCATGAATTAAATATAATTTAAAATAATTATATAATATAAAAATTTGATATTCTAAAATTACATTTTACCCCCTCCGTCTCATTTTAAATAACATGTTTTTCTCTTTGTCCGTCCCAAAATAAGTTACCGATTTCTTCCCATTTAAACTACCCCTAAAATAAGATAATACTATCCATATTATTTTCCCATTTATTGTCACCCCCTAAAAAAGTAAAGGTATTTTTGGAAATTTAATTCTATTTTTTTCTTTATTTAAATATGCTCCAAATTCAAAACATACAATATAAAATGGGTCGAAGGAAGTAAAATAAATAAAATTTACCAAATTGCATTACAACTAAATTTTATATACAACCTCCATCCCAGTGTATTTGTCTAGTTTGACTTTTTCGAGTCAACAAACTTTGAACTCCAATTACTCTCAATTTATATTGCATATAATATTAGCATAATGAAATATAATTTTAAAAGTTCTCAATACGATAAATCCAATAAAGTCATTTTTATATTAAAATACTTTATGATTTTTATTTAATTAGAGCTCAAAATTTATCCAATTTGACTTAAAAGTCAAACTGAACAAATAAACTGGGACGGAAGTATATTTTTTGTGGTGAAAGTATTGTTTTTGGGAGAGGTAGTAATCTCTAATTATTTTCCGTCATTTCTTAAGAGGGACTTCATGTTCATGAAGACAAGGATCAATACGACAATCCGGCTTTCTACTTCCGCTGTTCGCCACCGCCGCCGGTCGTCCAGTCCGCTGTCCGCAAGTCGTAGCATCGCCTCACGCAGCCCGGCCGCAGAACCCTAGCTCGTTGGTTCGTTGGTCTGGATCCGCCTCTGCGGCTCTCCTTGGGAGAATCCGCCACCGCGTTGCCGCCTCTGGCCACCACGGCCCCACCGCTTCTCCAAGTTTCCAATTACAGGTAATTAATTACAATTTACAAATAATTTTGGATATTAGGATCTAATGTGTGATTCTTGTAAAATTGTTTTGCATTTTATTTGAGTTTTTCTCAATTGTTATGAATCTAGTTAATTGGAGTATATACTTGATTTAATTCATACTCTGTATTTTTTATTGTGTTAAATTGGAAATTTAAAATGTGTAAGTCATTTTTATTTCCTAGATTAGGAACTACATTGCAAAGATATTAAAAAAAATAAGATCTAAATAACAAATATATTACTTTATTGTTACTTGTTGGAAATTATGAACTAACTAGGGCCGGAGACATGGGAGTTTGGGACCCCACGACTACAAAACCCTGGATCTGCTCTGGATCTAGTTCAATAGTTGATATTCATAAATTTTTGTGTCGCTTGAAGGACAACAAAAATGCCTTTGATTCTTCTTTAGATGATGATATCACTGATATCATAGAGCAAAATGATAAATGAGATACTACACCAAGAAAAAACCAATGAAGAGATTTTAACCGAAGCTGAAAAAATTAGAAAGAAGATCAACAGAACTACAATGTGGGATTTTGCATCCCAAAAGGCAAGAAAAGTATTTTTTTTGCTGGAATCACAAGGGAAGAAATATCCCTTTTTTTACCAATCTTTATCTTGTAGCAAACATTTTACTATGTTTCTTTAAATAATATGTTGTCTACCTTTTTACGAATGAAGTATATATTACTATTACTATATTTTACGGAGTAATATTTTTCCTACCATGCAAGAGGTCCCTAATCAAATTTTCAACCTAGGGCTTCGAACAGGCTAGAAACGGCATTGATTTGGCTATTTGGGCATTTTGGGTACCCTTCATTTTTTTTACTTTTTGAGAAAGAGTAAATAGTTAACATATTAGAATTACATAAATTAGGCGGTAGAATTTGTGGTAAGAATTTAGAAACTCGATTTTTTTAGGACTTTTGCGTAAGAATATAAAATTTCTTAGTGACCTGATTGGGAAACGAGATTTGGATTTCAAATTCAAATTTGACCCAAAATTTATGTTTGGGAATCCAAAAAAATTGGATTTGAATTTGGAAAAATTTCTTAAATTTCAAACAAAGCTCAATTACAAATTCATACACCATCTTGTAATATGAAATCCCGGAATTTAAATTTCAGAATAAAAATTCAAGAATTCAAATAAAGTCTAAGCTCCCAAATACTACTTAAACACAATTATTCATTGTTCTATGTTGTTTATTGCTTCTCCAAGAAATCTCCAGTTTTCTACCTTTTATAGGCGACAGATTCTTCTGTGATCCTAAGGTCCACACTTATTTTGTAGATCTTAGTGTACTAATAACATAAAAAAATTGGGCCTTTTATGAAAAAGAAAAGGTCTATTATCGGCCCATATAAAATGTTAGAAGGTCCACATTTCACATGTGAACCTTAGGACCCCAAAAGTATAACTCTTTAGAGGCAGTGGTAATTTTGCATTTGCCCACACCCCCAGACCCACTCGTGGGATTTTACTAGGCAGGTTGTTGTTGTACCACGTGGGTTGTTTATGTTCTAATTGTATTTTATTTCTATTTGTGGAACAAGCGAAATTCTTTCATCGTTATTGGGCATTATATCGTTCAGACTTTAGTCATTGTTCTCTATTTGTCAACAACACCAACAACAAACCCAATAAGATCCCAACTCCAGTGGGGTTTGGGGGATCAAAATATGTGCAACCTTCTCCTTGTAAATATTCAGAGCTTGTTGTCTTTAGACCCTTGATGCATAAAAATATGTACAACCAGGAATTTTTTTTCCCCAAATTTTTCATAAAGACATTGTAGTAAAAAGCTATACATACACATATATTTTTTTATTTAAAAAAGTCAGCACCTTTTTATGAACTTTTTTGGACTTACATGTTCTCTTAGTTGCCGAATAAAAGGCCTGCATATCAGTCTCGGTTAGATTCCTATACTGTATCTAACTAATTGGATATGATATGATAGAAGTTAAAGCCGCTGGACCTGGGAGAATAGGGCAATGGCAGATTACCACTTTGTATACAAGGATCTGGAAGGGTCCTCGACACAATGGGACGATATTCAGAGGAAACTCGGGAATTTGCCACCAAAACCACCACCATTCAAGCCGCCCGCATTCATGCCTTCCGAGGATGAGGATTCTAAGCCCAAAGATAATGATTGGATTGACAAGAAAACCGAGGAAGAGCTTGAAGACCTCGAAGATGATCTCGATGAAGATCGCTTTCTCGAAGAATATAGGTAATGTACACTATATTTGTTGAATATCCTTAAGCCGAGAACTGATTCTAGAAGATCGCTTTATGCAAACCTTATTTAGATAAAAAAATTCTTAAAGTTATGAATTATGAGAAGTCTAAGGTTTATGTTAGATTCATGCGTGAAATTTACACCTTTTCAGTCCTAAATAATACTCCGTATCAATTTGTCAATGAAGGCCGTGATCCAATGATTTTGAGAAGTTACCTCTCAGCTAACTTAACTTTGTTGAATTTAATTCTAGTTGGCAGAATGAAGAGGTAGGATTGTAAGTTAATTGACATGAAAAATAACTTCACTTCCTTAGTGGTTTGTGGAATAATGAAATGGATGTAGTTGATTTGTGTTACTTTTGAGAAGATTGTTTTTCATTTGAGTAATGCTACGATGCCACCACATGGATGCACCCATGCTTCGGACACACAAACACAGACGATAATCGTCTGTGTCGCATAGATGATTATCGTCTCTGTTTGCGGGAAGCATGGGTGCATCCATGGTAGCACCCATGTGGTGGCACCCTAGCACGACCCTTTTCATTTAGATTGGTCTTTCTTTACTTTCATTACAACTCTACCACTGTTCTTGTTACACCGACACCTAGTTTGATATTATAAAAACAAGTGTTTTCGGGTCATTCCGGCGCTCCAACGATCATGTAACCGCTTTTGCTACCCAAACCCCTTCGATAGTCCGGTGACCAAAAAGGACATAGTTGACGGATAATGACACTCTACAATGGGTAGGCCTTAGCAATCAAATGGTCTTTGGTTTGCTCTTTTACTTTGATACACCACGCTCTTCATTATTTACACTGCTAGTTTAGATACTCCCTCTCTCCCATAAATATCTTCCAACTTTCCTATTTGGGTTGTTCCAAAGTTTTCTTCCTCTTTCCTTTTAAGGAAAAAGGTTAGTGGTCATTATCATTGCTCTTTCCCTACACAAACAACAACCACACAATTTTTACTTTATTAAAAGTCGCGCCAAGTCAAACCGTGAAGATAATGTTAGGAGGGATGTAGTAATATTGTGCTTGTTAATGTTTACTTGTGTGACAAACTAAACCCCCCCCCCNCATTCCCTGACCCATCTCACTTTACTCAGTCCTGTCAGAGTGCCGTGATGGCCCGTAAATACCTTGTGTCATAATATGAAACCTAGTGTCATGTTATGACACCAAGAGTGTTGGTGTTACAGGAAGAGCCCTTTTAACAAAGGAACCTCATTTATCCACTTTCTAGGAGATTGTTAATTGATGCCATCATTTTGCATGAGATAATGCCATAATGGTACTAAGATCTGTGCTTCCAATCTCCCTGTGATAGGAAGAAAAGGCTAACTGAGATGAGAGAAGCAGCTAAGGTAGCAAAGTTTGGTTCAGTGATTCCAATTTCAGGATCTGATTTTGTTTGTGAAGTCTCACAAGCTCCTCAAGAAATCTGGGTCGTCGTGATGCTCTATAAAGATGGGTAAGCTGTTCTACTTGTAACCCAGAGTAGTGCTTGTGTGTCTTGCACTGTTGATTATTGTTACAAATTACAATAGATCCCTAAGAGTAAAATCTTGCATTGCAATTGGGCTAGAAATGACATTTTTGTTATGTAAATGATGAATAAGGGTTGTTAATGTTTAAAAAGTCGTACTCCATATATAATGCTTCATGAAATTACAGAAAAGCAATTTTCCCAACATAAAAACTTGCCTACATTATAGGCATCTAGCATTGCTATTTGAGCTATAAGGAAAACAATATCACGTCTTTCAGAATTTTATTTAATGTAGTGAGCGTTTTTGACAGATACCCAGAGTGTATGATGCTTTTGCAATGTCTAGAAGACTTGGCCAAAAGATACCCTGCAACAAAGTTTGTGAAAATCATATCGACAGAGTGCATCCCAAACTATCCTGATCGTAATCTGCCAACTATTCTGGTGTACAATAATAGTGCAGTTAAGGCAACTTATGTGGGGATGCAAAGCTTTGGTCGTAGGTGTACTCCTGAAGGTATGTGTGCTTTTAGGACATGTCTTTGATCTATGGAAAAATGTTAAAGGTAAATAAATGAATAGCACTCCCTGTGTCTGAATTTAATCTTTCCCTTTGATTTAGGCATTGGAGTTAATAGTAGGTAGTTGTGTTTTGGAGGCCTAATTAGACCGGAGAGAAACAATATTGACCAAACAATTCTCTTTCATTATTTGTTTTGAGATGAATGATTTTTTTTAATACTAACAATAACAACAACAATAATAATAATAAAATAATAATAATGATAATATAATAATAATTTCAACGACAATAATAATGTGTTTTAGATCAGTGGTCTCTGATTGTGATATCTTCAGTTCAAACACTTCCTCCGTCCCAAAACACAGGTCAAATTTTTTCTTCTTTCTTATTTTTGTTAATCATTTGTTAAAATAACATAGTCATGTCACATTGTCACAGCCTGTTTTATAGAGCATTTGATGGAGTATTCAAAATACATGATTGAATTTATTCTTAAGTGTGTGCCATCATTTCATAAAATTGAATATAAAACTAGTTCAGTCAAGCCTTGCTAGCCGCAACAAGACTTTATTTATGGGACTGAGGGAGTATCTTATAAACATTAGCTCATGCATCAATATGTGCAGTTTGCAGACAAGGAAAAGGGTACAATTCCCGTAACGGGTTTTGCATAACATCCAACAAGATCGATCTTCTGATATTGCCTTTCTTACTTTCTGCGGTGATGAAGAAATGTGTTTGTGTTTGTTTGTAGGTGTGGCCTTAGTTCTGTGTCAGTCAGATCCTGTGCTCAACGATGGCCATAACGGGGAACAATCAGGAGAGGCAGTTTTGGATGGGATCAGGAAGAAGTTTCTTGAGAGGGTCGTGAAAGAGAGTGAAGAAGACGATGATGGGTCTTCAAGTGATTGATCGATCCATGGAGGTGACAGGCTATGGCTAAAAACCCCAACAATTTGGTCTCCAAACAATAATTTTGCTGCCAAAAAGGTTGCATCTTTAATTAAATTTTGGTGCCACAATAAAAACATCGGAGACAATTTGAGCCTGTGCTTTGTGTCTAGTGGCTTAAGCCGGTTTTTGTGTGTTTTTTTGGCGTGTTTCTGTGCTTTAATTTTTATTTGTGTTTGTTCTTACTATGGTTTCTTTGTCCATTCTGCATTTTAGTTGTGAGTCTCTTGTAAACAGCATTTTAATGAGACAGAAGTAGCATGTAATCCTCCTTTCCCAAAAAGAGTTGTCTGTTGTTTACGAGATTTGACTCAAGTTATTTCAATTCGATTAATTTGAAAATTGGAACGAATTAAAAAATAAAAGTTATATATTTAAAAATTATATAAAAAGTTTTACAAAACAATATAAATTAGGTTGTGAAATTAGGCTTGTTCATTATGATTTCTTTGTTGAATATAGTATGAAAAGTGGACAATAAATTGTAGACAAAGGGAAACAAGAAAGTGCACAGCTACTGGCGGCGGTAAGGCCCAAGCAGCGGAAGGAGGGAGCCACTGAGGTGGAGAGCCATGACTTCGCTGGTGGACCCGACGAGCTTGCCGCCGATGAAAACCGCCGGAAGGGGGTCGGAGTTTGCCCAGTCCGTGGCAGAAGCGAGCGCACTCCGGACATCCCCGCCGCCATCGCGGTGGTCGGTGTCGACAATGTGCACGTGCGGTGTCACGCCAAGCTTCTGGAAGAGGACGTTAACGGCGTAGCAAAGGCAACACCCGGTGGTGCTAAAGATCACCACCCCGTGCTCCGCCGTCAACCTCTCCACGGCCTCCTCCATTACGTTATCGAATATATATGTATCCGATCCCTTTTATGTGCACTGCTTTAATATAGCTAATTAAATACTCCAATATTTTTAGTTAATGCTTGAAATTTATTTTTTACAGGCTTATATAGCTATATTGTTATTTTTTTGAAATGAATGAGAGGCCGAGTTCAGTAGCCAGTTAAATACTCTCTACGTGCGTGCATGCATGCATGAGGACTCTAGGCTGCTTGTTAGGTACCAAATAAAGTTTCATATATTTTCACTGATTTTGTTCGATCTGCAGAAAAAGGCAAGAGTAAGAATATACTACCTCAAAACACTTTCTCTTTCATTTTTTCCACTTCCAACAAAACACTTCCCTTTTCTATTAAAAAACCACTTTTACCCTTACTTTTTCATACTCTGCCTATCACATCATACTTTTTCTCTAATAATCTATCCATCACATCTTACTTTTATCCATCACATCAAGGACAAAATTGGAAATTAACTGTAATTTAACACTTCCTTATTTTTGTCCCAAATCAAAATGGGAAAGGTTTTTTCAAACGGAGGGAGTATAATAAAGGCAAGAGTAATAAGAAAAATGTCAACAACTTTATTGTTAGGGGTTTGGAAATGCTTTTTTAATTAAAACAACATTAAATTTTAGCATTTTCAATGTGAATATATGCACAATAAAAAAAATGTATCTAAAACATTGAAACTAATTGAAAATGCCATTTTTAAACAAGAACTTCAACTCACGTCGATTGGTCATTCCAGAGACAGCAACTTAAAGTTGGACATGACTAAAAACTAGTTTCCTGGGCAATAATCCCACATATATGCTTCAATGATTGGCTCTGGCTTTTGTTAACTGTCATTGTGTAAGACGTCATAAAGGGAAACTATTCTTTCTAGAAGGACATTCGAGCATCTAAAGGAGTGAGCTGAAGTCAAGTAATGACTACTTTGTGACCGGCTTGCATTCTTAGCACCCATCACTTTTCCTCGAATTAAATCAATTGAGTGCCCCCTCTTGTAACAATCAATCTAATTTCATTGCACAAATCTATAGATTGATCGATATTTCTCAACAACATGATCAGTGCCCCCATTTTTAATTTGAGTTCATGATCATTGGGTATATCGAATGCCCTGATATTGTTTTAAAATTCTGGGAAGTGCAAGTCTATATGGCATCACATTTGAATCTAATTTGCAAACACTATCATAGATGATGTAAGTCTTTGCATATCATATTCAACTGAATTTATTGATGTCATGTAGTCATTTATGACTTAAACCACATCTAATGTTGGTGCAAGAATTACTAACTTGGGTCTTTTGCAATATTATGAAAATTTGGATAAGTGGCTTGAATAATTGTTGCAGTTAATTGGATCAGTTACGCTTTGCAAGATCATATTTGAAAAGATATCTGCGTCACAACATCTGACATTTTCTTCTTCGGCAGAATCATCTCCAATTCTTGTTATCTAGCTTAAATTAAATTTGAACCATTAAAAAATCAGGGGGTTGTGACTTGTGAGTGTCAACGGATGACACCGGCTTCTATTGGAGCATCTACAATGTTCCATTTATAAAATTAATAAATTATTATTAAGAATGTGTGTTTCGGAAAAAGATGTGGATATATTTCATTTTTTATGCTTTTGCCTTGTCCAAAAACTTTGAAATGCCACAGAAATAATTATCTTAATCTAGAAGTTATTCATGATTTAGAAGTCTATCCGACTATATTCCTATGCTCCAAACTCGAAATAGGTACCAACCATAACAAGTGTTAGGTGTCAAAAGGAATATACCGTTTCTTGTAACTAGAACTTTCAAAATGTTTTTATATTGAGTTATTCCTCGGTATTCTTAAATTCATATGTAAAACGTAGATCTTCTTATACTTTTGATGGACAAGCGTTACTAGTGGATTTTATTTTTGCAAAAGACCTCATTTTTATGATATCTATACACCCAGATCTATAAAATGAGTATGAATTGACACTAAGAATTTGGCCATTGTATTCTAACACGCACACCCACAAAGTTTAACGTCACAAAGGTGATGCGATACCGAACAACGCGTACGTCAAATTAGACACCCGCTTTAGCTATAGATGCCAGCGAGATGAACTCATGTCCCGTTTGATACACGTAATTCAAATAATAGAATTTGAATTGAGGACGTACAACACACAATTCCAATCTTATTGTTTGGTATCACAAAAATATGTGGATTTGGAATTAGTAGTGCCCAAAATATATTGGAATTGGAGAATTAAATTCCATCTAAATTAATTTCATAGAATCCTAACTTCTAATTCAAGTCCAATTCCATCAATTCTATGTAGCAAACAGAGCCTTAATGTCTGTTCATATATTTCATTTCCTTTTCCTTTCAAAAGTATAGTATATACTCAGCCGTATTTAGATTTTAGATGGACCGATCGATCAATATATGCATGCAGACGTGAGATAAGCACGAATTTTATTATAAAGGGAGTCGAATGTTATTATATCTTCCAACCTGAGGGTTTGTGAATTTATACTACTTGAAGTTACCCATGTTTGATTATAGCTGGCTAGGGACTATTCATTTTCAACCCAACTTGTATAGAAATTGACCCATAAATAAAATAAAACTACAATTCATTTTCCAATTTTTTAAAAAAAGTTTATGTCTCATGTTATTTTTCTCTCCTCTACGAACCACACCATTTTATTTTCATTATTTTTTTCAAAAAAAAAAGTGCAAACTGATATAGTTAGTTACTTCCTCCGTCCCAAATTATAATGCCTGTTTACTATTCACAGGGTCAAACTTCATTCACTTTTTTTCTTTATTTTCATTAGCAATTTGATAAAATAAAATATTATTGTCACTACTAGTTTTGTAGATCTTTTGATGTAGTTTTTTACTATGTAATTTTTATTTTTTAATGCTATACCATTTGTCATATAAAATGGTTTGAAAATAATTTCAGTCAAACATCGTAAACCGAAACAGGCGTTATAAAATGGGACGGAGGTAGTAGTTTTTATACATTTGTTTAAAAATATGCCATTCAAAAAGTCCACTTTTTGAAAGCCGGTGGGCGTTGCACAATTAGCAAGGCAATGATTGTCAAGAGGGTAAGACTCGAGATCGATTCCTGACAACTGCGCTGAGAGACAACTATGCTAAGCATAGAGTCTCTTCAAGCACCAGGTGCATGCTCCACTTTTTGACACCAATCTGCAATCAAAATTTAATTTACTTTATCTCAGTAACCGTTCAATCGGGTTTGAAGGGCCCTCGGGAATGGGACTTGTCTTTTTTTAACAATACCGTAAAGGAAAAAATGGTGTGCCAAAAATACTTAGATTCTTCTTCCCCCATCCCTTCACTGCTCACATCAAAGAATTTCGACCTATCCGATATGAAGCATTTGATTCTCCTCATATTTCCGACAAACACGCAGAGATAGCATTTTATTTTCTATGTTTTTTTTTTTGCTTTGTGTTCATTTTTTGCTCCCTATAAATAAAACCACCTAGAGATCTCCAAACTCACCCCAACCACAATTACAACTACATAGTTAACGACGTCGTACAACCCACTTCATATACCCACATTACTATATTTACTCTAATTTGAATTTCATATAAATTTATTATTATACGTTACGTTCTAGATGGATCGAACCGTTGGGTCTAGGGGACGGGGCCACGCATCCACGTCAGCAGGCACGAGGAACAACAACAACAACAACACGACCGCTGCACCCTCGGGTGCGAGGAGCAGAAACAAAATGGTGGCGGCGGAGGAGGAGCCGGGGTCGTCGAGCCACCCGGCGGTGGTGTTCGGGAACATGGTGAGGGAAATGGCGGAGAAGAGGGCGGTGGTGATATTCACCAAGAGCACGTGCTGCATCAGCCACAGCATAAAGGTGCTCTTCGTGGACATGGGGGTGAACGTGGAGGAGCACGAGCTGGACAAGCACATGTTGGGCCCAGAGTTGGAGTGGGCTTTGAAGAGCATGGGCTGCGCCCCGCCCGTCCCCGCCGTCTTCATTGCTGGAAAACTCGTCGGCTCCGCCACACACGTCTTCACCCTTCAGGTCTCCGGCCGCCTCCGACAAATGCTCTTGGATGCCAATGCACTTTGGGTGTAGGAGCTAATTAATTAGTTAATCCATCAATATTACCTAATTAATCAAACAAACAATAAAAAAACCCGATTAAGTATAACGTAATCGTATACACTCATCATCAGCTCGTACCAAGAGTAGCAGTCCTTGCTAATTACTGTAATTAGACGTGTTTAATTATGCACTAATTGTGTCATGTCAAGTACGTAGCCAGAGCTTATAGCTTATTATAAAAGCTTGTACGTTGCCGGCCGTGCGTGATGCATTAGTATATATATGCCTATATTTGGCATTAACTAGCCTCCCAGTTTAGTTTCAGCATTTTGAAAACACCATACAATGATACTCCGTAGTTTTTAATGTTTGTGTGTGTCTTCTATGTTAATCTACTCGCACCGTTCAGAAAATATTCAATGCTATTCACAAACGCTATTACCAAACGAAACCTATGTCGACCCCATCCTTCTTCTGTGCTAAATTCGGGGGCTTGGGGTACGCGCACGCGAACGTTAAAAAGTGAAAGTCACTCAGTATTTCTAATACAAAAAATTACTAATTGTCAAAAGGCTAATTTAAAACCAGAGCATCAGCTCATTTCCAAAACCAGCAAACATAGGTAACTATTCGGCCGGTCCTACAAGGCCATAGAGGCGGGGTTCATCATTTGAAAAAAACAAAGAAACAAAGAGCATGACAGACAAAACATCATAAGCCTTATGATTCATTCATTGTTGGGAGTAGATGTGCTTATGTTTCATGTATATGAGACATAGTTTTATAAGTTTCAAATTTCTTACCCGTCAATAAAATCTTTCAGGAAGGGGTTGTGCTTCTCGGCTTTGGCATGCCTGCGCCAATTTTCAACAGCTCTCTCGACAGTATCCTTTGCCTTTTGTACCTCCTCCGAGCTAAACTTGTGTTCTATGATTCCTAACGGACCAGGTTGTAGCACCCTCACAACAGTTTCCACTTCCTGCTCCAGTTGCCTGTAAGGTGAAGATATCAAATCAACTAACAGAACACCCATTTGGAAATGATGAATTCACAGGCTCCTTACTCAACTTGGAGCGGCCCAATACCAAACTCGAAGTGTCAATGAAGACATAGACTTCGGGAAATTTGGTTAACTGATATTAGCCAACCAGGCAGTCCTCCGAGAGGAAGAGTTGATCTCGTAATTTCTTGAGGTCGACAGAATAGTGTTTTATTGATTAAAGTGTTGTTTATGCTCAGTGTTTACAATATATCTTTCTTTCTCTTAGGCTCTGTTTGGATAAGGAGTATAAGTAAGAGTAAGTACTCCTAGTTACTCCTGTATGGGATTTTTTTTAGGATTGCAAGTAAGGGTGGTGAGGAGGAGTAGCATTTACTCTCCACCTACAGACCTACACATATTTATTCTCCATTTCTTAACACTCCAAAATGGAGTGTAAGTGAGAGTGAGATGTAAATGTCCAAACAAGGTTTCTTGCCTTACTTTTATTTATTCTTCCCTGTTCTTACTCTTACCCCTCAAACTTACTCCATCCACCACCATCATCCAAATCTATGGTAGGACCTACAATGCTCACACTCAAATCTCGATGAAGATGAAGAACAAGGAGAGAGAGAGAGAGAGATGATTCATAGTATATACAATTACATTAAATACACACAATAATAATATAGCCACACAGAGAATAAAAGGTAGAGTCTAAAACCTAACAACTTGCTCTTCCAAGACCCTAGTTGTTCCTTTTATAGGAAATCACTACTAGCTACCATCTTAGAAACAAGCTAGGGGACCTTTAACATCAGGAATTGTGGGCAAATCCAAACAGATGTTCCATTTTTATTTGAATTGCATATAAGAAGATGACTCTGGTTTACACATACGAAATCGAAAGTTATACAAAAACTACAATTGCAAGGCCTTCCAAACTAAGAAGAACATACAGGAGTTAACGGCGATCCAGGTTTATGACCGAATTTTCCATTGACGGACCAAAAAGCTCTTCAATCAATATAATCACAGATGCGTCGCAACTCGAGGAAGAAGACTAGAAGTAGGATACGCACCTCAAGGGTCGGGAGAAGGGCAAAGCGCTACCAATCTTCTGGAAAAACGACCGCATTTTGCCTGGGTGATTAAGTATCTTTCAAACCCGGCAAAAAAAAGATACTCCATAATCCGTATGAAGAGATTCACACAATTTGAAGCTTATTTTGCACCTCCACGTTCATAATTTATAAAGAAAAACTATAAAGAGAAACAATTTTACCGGATTACTCTCGAACCGTCTTAAGCATTCTTATAATTTCACTAGCATGAAATGCACACTGTGAGTTTAGTACCCAACAATGAAAGTGATCACCAAATAGAAACTAAGATAAATAAAGAGAAATTTGTAAAAAGGTGTAACACTGTTATTTCTTTTTTTGTTTCTACCCCTACTTGTAAATTTAATATATTGATTTTCTCAAATGGAGCCAAAATTTCACCATTTTTTGGCTTTGGGGCGTGATGGAATAAATCAAAATGGATCTCTAAACTGTCTGCGCTTCTTTAATTAATGAAGTAGCAGTTAGTCAAGCAATGCAACTTTCGACGTTGAGCCGGAGGTCTCTTTGGAAACAGCCTCTCTACTTTCGAGTAGGGGCAAGGTCTGCGTACACACACTCTCCCCAGACCCTACTCTTGTGGGATTTAACTGGGTTGTTGTTGTTGTTGATTTTCTCAAATGGGATGACACCAAATGTTTATGTCACAAATGTAACTTCTATTGCTAGCAACAACATTTGGTCACAAAGAAACATGCAAAAACGGAAAAGACTAACATCAAGCTTTTACAATATGAATTGTGTGAAAAATGAGCAAAGTTATAAAATTTTTAAAACAAAATACAAAGTATTAGTCAAATACCTTTTTAAGAACTTATTTCAATATGACTTATATTTTGAAAACATTAATAACAAGATGTGTGCTACCCCGGAGTATATATTAATGCAAATAACCATTGAATTTATCTTGTTGAATATCTCTCACCCAAATGTAGAAGTTAAAATCTCTTCACTCCTTACCAAGAAAGGCATGTTTTCTTAGCAAGAATTAGAGAATGAAAACAGGTTGTGTACAATGATAAAAAACAAGTAAATTTATTCACGAATAGCATTGTATAAACAGGTCACCAAATTGATCCACTTTTTTTTCTTAACATCCAAATAGTTGCCAAAAGGATCATTATCATCAAAAGTAAAGAAGATGCATTGGTATTTCTTTGCATCTAGAAGTAATCCTTCCCTTATAAAATTGCTGTGAATGAACATCTTTTCATTTTCCAAGATTCATAAGCAGTGTCTCAAAGAAACATCAAAAATACTTAAATGGCCATTACTTTCACATCTAAAAAGGTATGAAAATAACACATATCAGGCTCTGTTCAAGGTAACATTTGTTCTTTGCAAGCTAGACAAACACAAACCCAATGGTGCCACCACAATTAGATCCTACACGTGATAGTATTATAAATTGTCTGTCTTGAAAACCATCAAGAGACTTAATTAATCAAAAAGCCTTTAATTAAAGTTGCAATGCTTTTTGACATTATTCTCTTATGGAAAAACTTTGGGCAACATAAGAAGATATCACAACAACCCAGTTGAATCCCACAATAGTAGGGTCTAGGGAGGGTGTGTGTACGCAGACCTTACTCCTACTCGAAAATAGAGATGTTGTTTCCAAAGAGAGCTCTGGCTCAACATCGAAAGTTGCATTGATTGACTAACTACTACTTCATTAATTAAAGAAGCGTAGACATCCATCACACACCAAAGCCAAAAAATAATGAATTTTTGGCTCCATCGGAGATGATGGAAAGAACATAAGAAGATAAGTATAACACAAGTCTTTAGTGTAGTTCCCATGTTATGCTAAAGTGGGCAAGCAACATTTTGAGAAAAATAAAGAGTCAGAGCTAGCATTACATTGGGAACTCTAGAAAGATGCAACATTACTATTAGCAAATGGAATGAATGCAATTATACAGCACTAAATATGAACACGGTATCCCTCTAAACTAAATTTTCACTCCCTTTTTTCAGCATGAGTGAGTGTAAAAATGGTGAGGTTAAAAAGAAATATTATATACATGATGTCCCTACAGTAACACTTTATTAGAGCATTATATATAATTACAAAGATATAGACACACTTTTGAGAAACAAGTGAGTGAAATCCCGAGTTTAGATATTGGTTTGAATAGCTTAGTTTCGTAAAAAATCAAAGAGTAGACACATTTGAAGAGGTACTCTGTTATCTTCATTACTAAGGCCATGCTTTCATCAACTTATTCTTATTACTTATTACTTTTTCATATTGGAATCAGATTAGACCAGACCAAATTAGAACCAACTTTAAATATAACTACATTCAAATCAAATCAGATCAAATTAGACTAAATCAGATCAGAACCATTCTTGCCAAGTGAAGAGAACATGACCTAAAGGCTAAAGCAGCCTCATCCGTAACCACACTTTTAGTTGGTACTATGTATAAATTAAAAATTATAGATTCAAATTTTATTCTAACATTGGAAATGTATTCCCAGAAACAATTAAAGTTCGAAGTGGGAAATAAACTTGAAATGGATTCTCCAAAAACAACCTAAAAGTATAACAACCTAACATCTAAGATGTACCACAGGAAATTTATAATTGGCAAATGAGATCCACTAAATTGAAAAGATTGTTTTCAGAAATATACCAATTCCAAGGAAAAAAATCAGTGTAAACTATTTAGCATCTCTTGCATATACTTGCAGAAATTGAGAAATTGCGACCCAAATATTAAAACTGAAATTGATAAATTCCAACAATAAATTATCATTTTATGAAATTATCATCCATCGAAAGTAAAACAATCTAGAGAATCCAAATATAACCATACTCACAATTTCAAAAAAAAGCCCTAAAAATTGGAATTCAAATAACAGTATAAAGAGAACAAAATTAGGGCTTTGGGCACACCTCGAATAAGAGAGGTACTGGCGCCAAATCAAGCGCGACTGGAAATTGAAAGAAAGACGGAATAAGGAGAAATCCGTCAGGATTTATCCAACTGGCAAAGACGGATCGGGAAACTTGGGATTACGGAAATGATGCCTAAATTTTGATTTTATCACATCTAGTTAATGATATATTAAGGTCAATTTGATAGCATAATGAGTTATATTTAGTGGTTTAATTTATTTTAAATTAAAAAAAATAAAGAGTTCTAAGGAGTCAATTTTATAGATTGTAATTATTCAAGGAAAGAAATGAGATTATATTGCAAGATTGACGGTGTATAGATAGTCTCCATTAGTACCACTTTACCTCTTAATATATAAATTTAAATATTTTTTATGTAAAACTCGTAAATAGAATTGGGCGGGAACTTTAGCTAGAATTTCGAAATAATACTTAAACTTCAAATCTTTTTCACAAAAATCCGTGAACTTAATCAATCCTTTCACTAAAAGTCCATTTGCCCGTTTCAGAGTTAACTTCTGGTCATTTGAGCCAAATTAGAATTTTATATATTTTAAAATTTTTAATTTGACCCTATTTCTTTTTTTCTTTTCTTCCGTTCCCCGCCGTTGTCGCACCACGTCAAAGTCGCCAGAAAATCAACGTAGTCCGATTCCGGCGGGACCAACGCCGTTCTCTTCGTCTCGAGATGAGGATCAAAAATATCCAAATCATTTTGTCCAATTCGGCCTGGAACTCCTCGAATTTGAATTTTTCCACTCAAAAAATGTTGAACACTCAGAGAAAATAGAGGATAGTGTTGCGAAACTCTTGATAACCAATCATAACAAACTATGCTCAACAACTAACATATCAGCTTTGCTATTTCCCCTATCTCACAAATGTTTTAGATTTTCTTTTTTTAGACTATCAAAAAAAACTTTACCCTTACATTTATTTCCTATTATAGTAATGAACATATAACTCACAATATTTCTTTTTCATCTAAAACAAATTATAATCATATGTACCATATTTTCATGTATTTTTAAATATTTTCTAAAACTTTGTAAAAGTCAAATTGTGAAGCATTTTATGGAACGGAATGAGTACGTAATGTGAAAGATGTAAGCACTAAAGTGCTCCCAAAAATTTTGCTCGTTACACTTTGCAGTATCACCAAGATCAAGATCCCTTGCTCAATCTCAATGTTAGATTGTCCATATTTTTTTTGTCACAATGTAATGCTATTTGTTGAGTATAAAATGTGGACCCCGTGCAATTGTTAAAAGCTCGATGATGAGAGTTCATGGAGAAGATATGCATGTTGTGCTTGCTGGTAGAAGATGATGGAACAAAAAGAGCGCCATTAGGCTCGAGTCAACCTGTTAACAACACAATTCGCTCGAGTCAAGATGACCAAAAAATACAGAACATATACACAGCCAAAGCAAAAAACTATACTGCTTAAGCAAATACCTGTATCGATTTCTTTCTTCGTGTAGGAGAATTAAAGTAGGGCAGGCAGGCACTTTTTTTAGGCCAGGTACTTGTACGTGTTCGAATTCCCTCTGTCCCTCTCCAAGTAATCTAGAGTAATTAGGTGTTCAATCCTCTTCTTGATTGCCCTGAAATCAGGCTACAAAAACACAGCAAAAAAGAGTAGATGTCTCAAGGTCTTCAATAGTAGTAAGACAGTGTTTGGAGTGCATGGTAAATACTTTTCAAGAAAACCCATTTTCCTGAAGAAACTTTATGTTTACTACAAAAATGTTTTGTTTTCTTCTTCTTTTTTTGGTTAAGAAGAAAAAATGTTCTTGTGCTCATACTTGTGAAATTAGTTTTCTCACCACTTGGAAAGACTTTTACAAGACTATAACGTGCGCGATAATTCGTAATGCAAAATGTTGTGGAAATTTCATTTTCTAAACTAAGGGAAATGAATTTATTCTGTACCAAACCCAGAACCATTCTAGGCAAGGTGAACTGCAAGATGCATGAAAGAATATACCCCATAACACACACCTTGAACATATGGCTCAAATGCTCAACGCATTCTAAAACCAGCTGTTGATGAGCCAGAACTTTCCTGCTCTTCATGATCCGCACAAGGCATGCATCAATAGCATGGCCCCTATCTTTGTCAACATCCTCCACCACCTTTTTCCTTTCATCAACCGGAGGCAAAGGAATCTACACACATGTCAAAAGCCATCCCCTCAATATTATCATTTAACTTAAATTGAGCCTTTGTTTGGTTAAAAGGAACAGATGATGTAGGGGAGGGGAGAGGAATCAGGGAAATGGGAGGAGAGAAAAATGGAAGAGTTTAAGTAGATATTATTTGTTTGGTTAGAGGAATAACGAGCACGGGTATAAATTTTGAAGAACCCACACAGGAATAGTCTTTGATGGTAGGATTTTTGTTGTAATAAAAATAAATACAGCAATCCGGATGTATAACAATAATAATGTAGAAAGAGTTGATTTTTTGTGTAAAAGGTGAAAAAAATTGCGATAAATATTACTCCAAAATACCCCAACTTGGGGAGCAAGGTATGAGAAGATAGGAGTGTATAGCTCCTCCACATTCATCCCCTAACTCCTCGAACCTAACACAACACTTTGAATTTGCTCCACTCCAAAGCCCTCCAACGAAACAATGTCAGAGCACAATAAATAAATTTAAAAAAATTACAAAAACTAAAACATAAGAGATAATGTTCTAACCCTGATTCTTCGCATTCGGTCAGTGAACTTGGAATTGAACTCAAAATGGTCATCCGGAGAAACTGTTCGGTTGTTAGGCTGCTTGATCAGAATCTTATACTTGGCACAGGCAAGAGACTGCAGCAACCTGACCAGGTCATCATCAGCCAAATTCAGCTGGCTTTTAATTTCGTGGTAACTCAGTCTATCTGAGGCATTGAATAGTAGCAATGCAGCTGCCTGGAAATGATAACACAGCAAAAAATAAAATCAGTCTCCCATTGCAGTAAACGTACAAGGGTAGAATACTACAATTATACCGACGCATCACCTGATAAGTTCCCAAAACCAGTTCAATGGTTTTGGCATCAAACTTCCCAATTACATTGCATGTTCCCAAAGAATAAATCCAAGTAAGCCTCCTGTGATTAGTTTTTGTTTCATAAAATTCCTTGAAGACCTCAACACACTTGGCCTGTAACAGAATTATAGCAAAACCATCGACATAGAAGTGATAGAAAAACATTTCCTAGTGTATATAACTATATAATAAATAAAGAGTATATGCCTAGCAAAACCCACCATCTCGGCTGGGAGACTCAAATCGGAAGATTTATAGCTCGGCCAGAATCCAGTTGTGAGAACCGTAACAGTCAAATCAATTCCAGGACTAGCAGCCGGGTTATTGTTAAGATATTCTTGGAAATGATTCTGATTTTCCTTTGATAATGTCAAATCTGTGACCTAGAAAACAAGGCGAATATAATAACACTAAAAAAGAGAGGTAAGAAATGCAGGGAGATTTTAAATAAATACATTTAAAAGAAAAACTACTTACCATCCCCTCCATCTTTGAGGTGAACTGTCCACCATAATGCTGCTTCAACTTTGTTAAGATAAGTCTTTCATGGTCATCATTTGCACTTTTATCAAAAAGCAACCGACGAGACAACTTCTTCCTATAAAGAGCCAAAAGAGTAAAGATAAAAAAATGATTCTTTAGAAATATATACCAGAAATATTAACAAACAATTCTTTGGTAAATCATTAATTCTCCACCTGAAAAACTCAGCAAAAAGATCCTTATCGCTTATATATGCCAAGAGCTTGACAACCTGCAAAGTGCGTACCATATTGATTATTAGCAAAGAGAAGCATTAAACGAAATACAGTAACCTCCATGTTATTCAGAATACATAATCATGTCTTCCAAAATAGTTGTATTTTATTACCTTATCCAATGTTTCCTCAGTATCCTCGTCGCTGAGCTTTTCGCTTCCACCCTTTTTAAGGATATTATCACAATAAGAAGCCAGGTGTTCGGCACTGGAGAAGCCACCGACAACTTTATTACAAAATACCTCAAATGCATCTTTCAATGCCTACGGGAAACCAAGACTTTGCATTAAAAAGAAACAATACAAAAAAGTGAATCGCACAAAACACAACCGAGACATATTTAGCTTACCTTGTGAAAGAGAGAATTGTTCGAAAAACAATATGTCACATATGACATATACTTGTCATGAAGCTCAATCACTTTCCGAACAAAAACCTTGAAGACATGACAGGGCATGAATCAGTCTTTAAAAGTAGCAGTCTATAAAAATAATCAGAAACATTATTTTAAACTATGTTAATTACATTGTGGCACTATAAATTTTTTATTTATTAATTTCTACCAAACAAACACTGTGTAGGACTCTTAGATTAAATATCTGCATTGTATACAAAACATTTACCTGTTCCTGTGAATTTCCCATAGCACTTTCGGCCTACATAAGAATTTATTATATAAATACTTCAAAAGTCACGGATATGAAAAAAACCAATAAGCCAATAACTATTACTCCGTCCCAAGTCCGCCTAAGAAAACAGTAACAGAAGCAAATTTAAACAATTTCAGCTCTGTTAGGTTGGCCAGACATAAGATGTTATGGAAAGACTACTTTATGCTATTTTAATTGTGGCATTATAAAATTGTTACTTTTTTATTTTCTACCAAATAAACATTTTTCTAGAAGTCAAATCACCATACACATAATATCATGTTTAACACACAAAAATAGAAATAAAAAACAGTCTCATGAAAACCACATGCTCCCTCCGTCCCAAAATAGATGTCACTATCTACTATTTGCATGTCAAATCTAACTCTCTTTCTTTGCTTATATTTGTTGCTCATTTGGTAAAATAATATAGTAACGTCACCTATTGTTTTTATAAGTCCTTTGATGCAGTTCTTAAATTTATAAATTTTATAATTAAATTTTACACCAGTTTTTTAATAAATTGAATTGAAAATAATTTTAATCAATATTCATTAACCATAAAGTGAGCATAGGATAATCTGAAGAATATTTTCTAGAAAAATATTTTGCTCCAATCCAATGCAGCCTTGGTTCCACAACAGCACAACCAAATATGTTTACAAGCAAAGCCATCAAACTTAAAAG